GGGGGGAAAAGGCAAGAAAGATGAAGAAGAAACAAAAACAATCCAACAAGAGTTAGCCTTGGTTTTCTGGCTGGTTGGCTAAATGACTTTTCTTCACCAAAACCCAGTCAATCCTCTTTGGTTTTTGAGGATGAAAGAAGACTGACAGATGTTTCCTAGTAACTAGACTGTGCTACCAGTACAGGTTCACGGGCAGCGTGTACATTCTGTGCTGTATTCTTCTTGCTGTGCACATAAACTGTAATTTCTTTGGTGGTGGCTTCTCTGCTGTCCAGAAGCCAGTTCTGGAGGTATTTCCTGCAAGGGAGAGATCGGGGAGATGGGAAGTAGCAGAGTAGGACACAATAATGGCAATAGAAAAGATAAATACAGGGAGGAGAGCTAAAATAGACACTGAAAAGAAAAGTGAGAATGTGAGCTGTGCTTTACTACATCGCTCACAGGGTTCATTGATACGTAATGTGTCCTTGCATTCTTGTCTAGTTAAATCCATGTCATCAGGGACAAATTTTGCACTTGGTATTACTTGTCCTGTTGCCCTGCATATGTGCCAAGTTTTTCAACTTCAGTGTTATGTTACTACTTGGTTATACTGACATTCGTCCTGGTTGTCTGGAAGTTGGCCTGGGTGACTCAGAAGGAAAAAAAAAATACTTCATTGTTTTATAGGACCTACCATCTTTTTTTCCCCCTCCTTTTTTCATTTTGTCTAGGAGAGCAGCTATGGCTTGTTTCAGGAAGGTAAACTCCTATGTATCTGTACAAAACAGGTAGCAGAATGCTTTATTGAAGCAATGAACAATATGGAGGTAGAACACAAATGTTAATTCATCATTGATGACGTCTAAATGAACAGCCATACAATTTCTTTCAAACCCTCATGAACCATTTGAGGTCTTTAAGCCACATATATATTCTTATTTTACTAAAGGTACTTACTCTGTATCCTCTAACCATGTTAATCCATGTTAATTAAAAGCATTGGTTTTGACTATCTAAACTGTATACAGCACTCATTGTTTCTAAAGTTCTCTGTACTTCTCTACTCATAATGTTAGCCTTGTATATCTATGGTGTTTATTACAGCTTTGAACTTCTGCTTCTGGCAAAGATGACTTAAGATCATAGTCTTTAAAATGGAAACTAAACTTGTTAGCTGTTTTTAATAATATGTAAAAATGAAAAAATGGTTTCAAACCAACAGGAAATTATGTTCTATACTTAGTCTTGCATGTGTGAAAATGGCTTGCAAATACTTGTAGTGTTGCTTTCCTTTTTAAATAAATATTGGAAGGCAGGAGATAGAAGATTGTTACCTGAAAGGCATCCTCATAATATATTTAATTACATGTTTGCTTATTTTTCCCAATATAGGAGTCCGCCTAGACAGAGTACGTGGAGGTCGCCAGAAGTACAAGCGCAGAATAGATGCAGAGAATAGCCCATACCTGAACCCTCAGCTAGTTCAGCCAGCAAAAAAGCCATGTGAGTACACCAGATACACAAAATTTCTCTTTGAATACAAGGTATTGATTCTTAGCCCTGTTTGCTAAGCTCCTTCTGACTGGGACAAGGGTTCGGTCAGAAGATATTACCATGAACACTATATCCATTTAGTTGTTAACACATTTTGTTTTAAATATGCTTATCTTTCTCAAGTGGAGTTGAAGAAAGAATATTTTTACAGGTGGAAGTGTATAAAAGCATGGTTTATGCAGTGCAAATTTTACGTTTACAGGTTGTCTTTATTTTCAGTGGTACATAAAATGGTTCATACTGTGATCATTAGTTCATTGAAGCTTCTAGTTTCAGATTTCACAAGAAAGTGATTTTTGTAGTTTTCACTAACTAAATGAGTTTGACTGCTCAACCTCCCAATGAAAATACATTAAGAGCGTCATTAATTTATACCTATAGATTAATACACTGCCTAGCATTAGATTAAAACAGCAACGTGCCATACTAATAACAAGCATAGATTGGTAGTTTGGACTCTAGTACCCTCATGGATGTTTTTTTTCTTTGTTTTGTTATGTTTTAATAAAGTCCTTGATTGTATCTCACTAGGCTGAAAGTGAGAGAGAGAGGGAGATGATCATCTCATTGCTAAAATACAAGTTCCATCCTCTTTGCGATTAACTAAAAATAGTTAGGGGTTTTGCTTTGCAGCTTATATAAACTCAAGCAGTGACTGTACTAATTCCATGAAGTAAATTTAATAGCATTATAGCCGTAGTGCAAGAGGCTAGTGTATTACCCTGCAAAGGCACACATGCTGTATCAAGTGTTGTAAACTCTTCCAAATTCAAATGAGAATACACACGTCGAGTTGCTCTCCTGCCAAGATTAATTTGCTCCTAAAACAGAGAAATAAGCCAGAGAAATAAGGAGGGCAAACTCCTCCTTGTCTCCCATTTGCCTCTGACAACACACATGTCAGTTTTAGGCTTTTGAAAATACCTGGCTGTATGGAAAATGGAATTTGTTTCCGTTCGTGTTCCCCAGTAGGGGACAGTGCTGTGTACAATACGTTTGAGCATATGGGGATCTGGAGAGCAAATAAACAGTCTTTGAACTGTAAGTGAAAGGGCATTTTAGCTGTGTCAAAGAAAAAACAGCCAGTTTTACATAAAATTAAGGCTTAAGTGAACATATGGCATAGTTTCCTTTTGCCTTTCCAAAAAACATTATGCTGATTATATTCCTTCAATTGTCCAATCTGGCATCTTCCACTCAGCCTCCATAAGCTGTCCCACCGTTCTGTAAATACAATCTAGGGCTGCACTAAGCAGATTTTCCACATTATAATAAAAACTTTCTGATAATACAATAAAATTTAATAAACTCTAATGCTTAATTTCATTAGAGGTTTAGTTTTCCTGGGTGCACAGATTGTCAGTTTTTCATTTACTTGATATTGTCATTGAGTAGAAATGTTGATAGCCTAGCATACCAAAAAAGCCAAGACCAAAGAGGCAAAAGAAAATAGAATCCAACTTAAAAACCCCAAGCCCTTCAGAGGTTAACACTGTTGTACTGAAACACAAGACTCTCCCTGTAAACCCAAGATTACTGCAAAGTAGTGCATTACATTACCTTTAAGATGCTAACTACACCAATTTCTGTAAGCTCCATTTGCCTGAGATAAACTAACCTCCGTATAAATCATTACTCATTACCGAAGTGCATCCCTTCATTTTCCTTAGCTCGTCCAATTACAAACATTTTTGTTACAAACATTTATAAAACTTAATTTTTGGATCCTGTCAAATAAGTGTCAAGACTTGAAACAGTTGAATCGGTTTTGTGTGGAATTAGCCTGGGAGATTTTCTGGACCCTGACTGATAGTTTGTGCGTTAACAAAGGCACAGGAATGAAAATTGGGTTCTATTGATTCTAATTTTTTTTTTTAAGATTTACCTAGAAACAGTGCTCATGGCTATTCAATTTCCTGAGTGATGGAGCTTTCTGAGTACATTCAGAATTTTCCTATGGTCTATACTAATACACGCTCCAATAAATGTGCCTTTCTTTTTTAGGGAAAGAACAGGTGTTTGGAGGATATTTCCCACACCTACCTCTGGCCTCTATTGTATTTTCCAGCTTCACCATGAAATCTAACGGCCTACCTGTAGATCTTGTTGATTGTGAAAATAAAAAGAATTGGAGATTTTGCAAATCCTGAGTCAAAATATACAATATTCCTGAATAATCTACAAAAAGCCATTGGTGAGGAACCTAATAAAAAAAATGAAAGAGGTTCTTTGGCCATTTCTTCTGTTTGCAGGGGAAAAAACCAACTGGGGGATGTGAGTGCTTGTTCATTCATTTATCACCGATTAAAAACCCACAAAGTTGAAGTCCTCAGCTACACGTGTTTTGATATTAAGAAACTCTAATTTATTTATCTTACTTTTTAATGCATGCAAAAATACTGGAATTTGGGAAGAAGCAATGTTATCTTTTGTCAGTTAAAAAGATTATGGTTTTTGTGTGAAATTAAACAGGATATGAAAAGACTGTTTAAAAAATAAAAAAATTATGTGCAAAGGCTGTTTGCCAATATAAGTTAAAACTACCATCTGTCATCTTTAAATAAGAATAGAATTCCTCATTAATCAGTTTGATAATCAGTAGAATATTGAGATCAAGAATTACTCAGTTGGCATGGTTCCCATAGTTCATATAAAGCATGAATATATCCCCTTGTAATAAAACATGCTTGATGTGATGGTTTCCAGTTGGCTCTTGCACTTATTTTATGAAGGGCTAGCATATATCACAACTTCTGACACACAAATTTGGAATAAGGCAAAAATTGTAGAGACAGTAGATCAGAATCGAGGAGTCTGTGTCACAAAAGAGCAGTAAAGTATCAGAAATCTGAATCGAGTGAGTATTTTATGGAAATCTGTCATGGGCTGGTAGGGAGCTTCTCTGACGCTCCTGGGCAAGTCACATCCCTGTCAGCTTCCATTGTAGGTCCCCCACAGGAGGACATGCGGAAGGGGAGGGTGATACTCATTCTGGCAGCTTTCTCTGCAGTCAGAAAATACTTTGCACCTTCTCACAATGGAATCCCATTTATATCAAGCCCCATAACTCTTCATCCTAATGAAGGGAACAGATTTGTGTAAATTCACCGAAGGGTGCCATTTCGGCTTTAAATTCTGGCGGTGCATTTGAGGTCACAAAGTGTACCTACCATGAAAGGTAAAATGTAAATATATATTGGGAAGTATAGTAATGTGTCCTGTATTAGGAGGCTTAATGAATTAGTCCTTTTCCCATTTTTCAGCTCTGCCTTCTCAGAGTAACAAATCAGGCTCCTGTGTAAAGATAAGGTATTTCCATTGTGCCTCCACGTGGATATAATGCTCATTTTATGTTTATCCTACTTAGGGAATATGGAAGAGCAGCACTGTATTTATTGTAAATCTTTCAGGCTCTTCTACTCTTTTTTTTTTCCTCTTCACTTTTCCTTATAACTTAATCAATTATTCCAAATCGATTTCATAAGTCATCTGTATGAAAAAGTAAATAATAAACACATGAATGAAAATGCTATATAGATAGAAATAGGCAGCGTGTGAATATGATAAAGTATAATTCTTTGCACAAAACTAGTTTTCTGAGGTAGAGTCTCCATCTGTTGATACTCTCCTTAGTTTTCACTCTTTATTTTCATTGATTTTAATAGCTATTCCTGGCTGGAAATGAGAAGAGGTCATTAGTCTATTTTTGCACTTAACGAAGCAAATTTTTTTACATCATTCTAAATTTGTGTGTTTCACTGAAAAGCAAATATAAGACAACAGCCCACTTTTCTGACAGCATAAGCCCCAAGGAGTGCAGATGCATTTTTAACATTGCAACAGGCAGGATACCCATAATCCCTGTAATAATATGTGGGATAATGAGCACTGAGAAAGTCCTGAGACAATTTTGTTGCAACAGTTGATCAGTGACATCCAGACCAAAGAATGGTAGTTGGTATTGCTGACAGAAGTTACAGATTTCAGTGACTGACTAACTGCTTGTGGTATTTACTTGCTCAAAAATTATACCAGCCTTTGGGCATGAGTGGGTTGCAGGTAATTAGAAGGTGGCAAAACTTTTCTATTCGGACAGTCTGAAATACATTATAATGCATGAATATTTTCTGCAAAGTTTGTATTCCAATATTAGGAGGTGATCATGTATTTCTACATTCCATTAAATTTACTATCTTAAAAGCATACATGTCTAGCTTGATAAATATTGTTAATGCATCAGATTCGTTGCTACTGTAACCACTTGTAGAAGCCAGTGAAGTTACAATAAGGTTTAATTAGGTCCAGTATCTTAAGACAAATTCTGTGCACTTTGAAATATGAGCCATCTGTTTGAAAAAAGTAGAATGATGCTACTGGTGATCTTGTACTGTTCTGGACCATTTTTACAGATAACAAGATTGTCTCCCATTTGCTGGTGGCTGAACCAGAGAAGATCTATGCTATGCCTGACCCCACTGTTCCAGACAGTGACATCAAAGCGCTTACCACTCTTTGTGACCTGGCAGACAGAGAACTGGTGGTGATCATTGGATGGGCTAAGCATATTCCAGGTACATACAGCTTTTATTGCAAATAGATGACATACAGAAATCATCACATGGGTTATTCTCTTCTGGTAAAAAATATGATTTATTCTCTCGCTACAATGCATAAAGTTTTCTTAAGGCTCCAGATTATTCACATAGGACATAGGTTAGGTGATAATACGTCTTACCGTGGAAATAGTATTATTGTTGCTATGAGTATTACTATGTTAATAATTTCTGCATGCTACTCAGTGAGTGATTTTTTTTCATATATTACTTTTATTAAGATAAGCTTGCCTTTGTATCCAGAGTATTAGACTTATGTGAAGGGTAAGTCAGTCCTCTCCTCTGTACCCATCCGATTCAGCGGTAGTTGAATGTAAGTTTGGTTCCTCTATTACATAAATGCAGCACTATCTTATACTGGCCACAGGACATACAAAAATTCAGTTACATTTTGGCAAGGCACAGAGGAATTGTTCTCTTCATTGAGTGAACCTGTGTGAGAACTGAATTGTACTAGCAGCTCAGTAGAAAGAACTGAATTGTACCTAAAGGTCTCTTCTTATAGCTCAGTAGTGCCCTGGTCTGCATGAAATGAACCGCGGTCTACATCACGTAAATGTGTTGATATTATAAAAGCTGACTGACAAGAAAATTGGGGGTCATTAAAAGCAGTTTCTCAGAAGATCAGTGATTTCTTCAGGTAACATTTCAGGTATATTTTATTTCCCCCCAATGCTGAGGTATTTGTGCTTGCTCTGTGGGCTAGCAGACAAACTTACAGAGTCTCCAGGGTTCTCAGTCTGTCACCTTTCACAAATGGTAAAGTCACACAAAAAGGTTGGCTTTTTTTCTTGTTTCTTAAGGTATTATTCTAGTTCAGCAGATGAGTGAACATGTTGGTGTGTTTTCATCAGCTCGTTGGTTTTCTAATTTTGATAGTGGGGCCTTACTGAGCATAAGAACGGATAACCTTTAATTCATCTGAGTAATACATCATCCTCATTTTAGATGTGATTTTGGGATACCTTAATAGTAGAATAAATAATCCAGTTGTTGTTTGTTTGTCAAAGTTAAATATATTTTATTTCTAGTATCAAAAGAAATCACAAAGAAATAGAAATAGAAGGAGTCTTCCTGGGGTTTCTCCCCTTGTGCTAACCAGCACAAAGCCTCAGTTGTTCTGGTACGTGCTTCTGGGTCATCTTCAATAAATATCAACAATAACAAAGAAAAATAATAAAATAATTTGTACATTTATGAAGCATTATTTTACTTCAGATGAGAGACAGCAGCCTACAGACTAAAATAGTATGCGACACAGTTGAAATTTAGTCATTCTCTCTGCCACAAATGGTATATAAACAAGCTTTTGTATCACAAGCAATGTTTTTCTGGTACAGTTAACTTATTTCTGTCTCCTTAAACTAGTTTGTCTTTATGCTTTGAATGCTACAGTAATTTCTTTAATCAAATTGATGGAAGTCCCTTTCCCAGCCCACACTGAAACCAATTTATTGGTCATGATACGCCAGCTATGTTGCTAACAGTCGTAACGAACTGTCAGGCAATATCGCAGTGAAGCTAATTTGAAGTCATTAGGTGTGCAGCGTTCAGGCAACAATTTGTTACAGTGGTTAGGAACACAGCTGACATTTCTGAATGGCTTTGTTCAGCGCAGTTCTAGATGAGCCCAAGCAAATTGTAAACTAATTTAAACATCACTCTATATTATACTAGCTACTCTGTCTTACACTGGTTGCTAATAAAGCACCCCAAATTAAGTCAAAATGAGTTAAATAGGTGAGTTTGAGTTTCATCTTTGGAAGATACCTAGATCACCCTAAACAAAATAGAGTTCCTCTCAAAGAAGTCAGACATGCTCCGTTGTAGTTGCTGGGGAACTTTTGTCAGTTTGACTTGTGAATATGCTGTGTAGCTTTGATTTGGCTGGAGGGATAGGAAGAGCAGAGGGATGAGGCTGAGCAGCCTTTAAAATGATGGCTTTGGTTAGCATGGAAAAGGTATTGGATGCTGTAAACTGGCCTTGAAAATTTAAAGTCTACAATCTGAAGCGGTTGAGGAACATTTCTGCCATGAGGCAGCGTTTTCTTACAAGGTAAACTCAAAAACACACCTGCCATGCTAAAGCCACACTAGCTCAGTTTACTCACCTGACTGTTTAGGAATGAGAAGAAAAAAAGCGGCAACCAGGAAATAAAAACAATCTTTCTATAAGCCTTCTGGTAGCAGAGGGCAGTGATAAAATCGGTCCTTGTTTTCCAGCATTTGATCACAAAAATCAAAATGCAAAAGGGCTTGACATGCTAAAGGGCAAATGTGATGAGCTTTTGTAGCTTGATTTTGAATGATGGAGTAGTGCTGAACTTGGACTACCTACGCTCAGCTAAGGTCTGGCACAAAACACCTTGTAGAAGAGCCTGCATTGGTGCTAGCTGACTGTTTTCTAAGCTAATAAATGTTAAAAACATAACAGAATTGGAAAAAGGATGAGTTAGAAAAAGGGTGCAAATTGCATAAAAGTTCACTGTAGCTCAGCGGACTAAGTAAATCCTTGGTGTAACTCTCTTGGAATCGATTAATTATACCAGTAGCAAATTTGTGCGTAGTGCAGCAATCAGCAAATCTTTCTTTACTGTAGTGATTTCTTAAAGTTCGGTATAATTAAAGGCCCTTATATATTAGGTGCTTAGTAACTAATAAAGATTTCAGCTGTAAAGCATTGTAATTCAAAGTAAAATTTGTCTTTGTGGAAAAAACCAAAATAATGTTTTTTCTATTCTAACAGAAAGTCTTTTAATGAGATTATCTTTAAAAAGGTAACGATGCAATACGCATTCTGCCCTGGCCAACTGCTTCCCATTGCAGTCACAGCCTAAAAAATGGTTTAAAATTATACAAAGTTCAAATGCTTTCATGAAATCATTAGTAATTTTGTGCTATTGGGAACATTTCAATCGTTGCTTTTATTGAACAAAAAAGTTTATGCCATCTACAAAAGGAAATACTGAAAGAAAAATATATATGGAAAGCCTTTATCAGTAAATAGAATTAGTCTCCTTGCATTTATAAATCAAATAAATGGAAAGTGTGTTGTTATGAAACATGGCCATGTCTTATCTGAAGAAGAAAAAGATCACGATGGCATTAGGAAATGCTTGACTTTAGTTAGAGGAGCGTAAGGGCACAAGAACAGATGATGGTGCCCTAATAGCCCTTTTTAAGAATGACAGGGCCCCGCCATTAGCATCCTTTTATATCCTTGGAAATTGCTCATGCCTCGCTTTTCTGGTTCCTATCTGCCTGACTCTTTTTTATTTCTCTTTCAATTTCATCTGCGCTCGGATAAGCGCATGCTAACACAATATGATTGAGCTGTAAAATGGAACGCTGTCGCCTCTAATCTCTTTTATGTAGATATGGAGGTACTTCCACACTCCACTTCATTCTCTCTCCATTGTTGGCCTTTTTAGAATGTGTTGCCGAGTAATGGAGGCTCAGTCAAATATTAGAGCTAGGTTTCACAGGGTGTGATAAGAAGATTATCAGCCCAGCAGTCAGATCTATTGTTGTTCTTTGTGTCAGATTAAAATATTCCGATGTACTGTAACTTCGTTAATAAAATACTGAAGGTGCTTAGGGAGAGGCCGATGCTTCTTCGTCTCCTGCCTGATGAGGCAAACTCCCTATTAACTGACCTAAAGAGATTGTAAATATCTTTATTAAGCCTCTGCAAGACTTTTCTATTTATTTTTTTAAATTTTACTGTATCTTTTAAATAAGAGAGCCTGGTTAATTCAATATTTACTGATGCTTGAGTTTTCTACCCTTTGCATGGGATTTTTGGGGAGGTTCCATTTTATATTAGCTGCATTATATTAATTATACTCTTTTCCACTATGGGGTAGAATTCTGCTGATACCTAGTCACAATATCAGAGTCGTTTAGGCACGATTTCTATAATGTAACTATCTCATTGACATTCAGCAAAAATGTGCAATGTTCTTTCATATTAAGTGGAGGCAGGAAACATTAAGCTCTTAAAAATGTGCATAACAGGAAGCTAAAGACAAAATGTTCTCGAAAAAATTTGCATGCATGAAAAAACATCAACCAGACCATAGAAATCAACTTTTTGCACTTAAAATGAAAAATTTGTTTGGAAACAGTAAATCAGACTAATACATCAAAAATAACTAGTTACATTATTTAGTAAAACAAGCCTGCTTGTCTTTAGCTGCGTCCCTGTTTTGCTAGTAGTAACAGTGGTTGAGAAAGGAAATAGTTAGAAATTGATACTGCCACTGGTGCTAGTATTAA